TACAGCAGCAATTAGAGCAAATAGAACAGGCCGAAAAAGAACAAAAGGACAAAGAAAAAGAATCCGAGCAAGAAATTAAGGAATTAAACAAGCAAATTGAAAAGATTAACCAACAAAAACCAACCTCAATTGCGGCTAAAAAGATAGAAAGAGAAATCAGAGACGCCGAGCAAAAAGCCAATCAAAGCCAGCACGAATATATCGAACAACAATGACAAGAAGTTAAGAAAACCGAAGAACAAATATTAAATGACAGTCCGGAAACTCCCTCTCTAAAAAAAATTGAAGAAAAGGTCCAAGAAATCAAAGAAAGTCAATCCTCAACTGCTTCTCCGCAGAGATCTATGAGTATTTACATGCTCTATCTGATTATTTTCTTATTGGAGTATATTGTTTATAAGAAAAATGGCTTAACTGGTCTGATTGTTTTAAATATAATTCTCCTAATTTGCTACTGATATAAAGATTGGATTATGGAACATTATAAGGATAATTACAAACAGTTTGGTAAATATCTCTTAATAATTGGTTACGTAATGGGTAATGTTCTCGCTTATTCTGCTCCTGAACAAGAAAAGTATAAATGACCTTCCGTAGTTGGTTTTAATACTATTCTTGCTGCTCTTTATGGTCATACTTGGTGGGAAAATAAGAAAGAGATTGAAACTAAACAGGAAGAATTGACCCAAGTTCAAGAAGAATTCGCCGAAGAAATAGTAAAAAATGAAACTGAATATATTGAAAGATTACAAGAAGCCGAACAAACTCTCGAAAAAATCAAAGAAAAAAGCAAAAATTATAAGACAGTAAATTTTTCAATTTTAAGTCAAGGTTTAGGCACTCCCAAAAATATTTTTTTCGCTAATCAGCAAGAAGTAGACCAAGCCCGAAAACTTTATGAGAAAATAACACAAAATTTAGAAAAAAAAGAAAGTGAAGATTATTTAACTTCCCCAGCAAGCCAAGAATTTCTCCAATTGATTAAAACTAGTGGAGCCGAATTAGATGATGAAGAAAGAGAATTAGTCGCTAAAATTGAGAATAAGCAAAAGCAGCAAGATTATCAGGCAATTTCTCAAATAGTAGAAAAAATGCCGGCCGTTCCGAATGAATTAACCAAAATCTTAACCAAATTACTATCTAATTTACAGGAAGAACAAATCATAGCCATTTTTTCTCAATCTTATCAAGTAAAAGATAATCAGACTGAATTGAATGCAACCTATTCTCATTTAACCAAAGAACAGAAATTAAAATTGCTTAATTCGGGTTTGGACAATTTACAAATAAATACAACCGAGCAAAAGCAGGAATTATTAAATATCATTCTCACTAAAAAGCAAGAAGAAATTCATTTTGATTTAACCATTACCGAAAAGGAAAATATTTTGCGTTTGATTACAAGCCAAGTCAGCCAAAATCAATTGGAAACTTATGAAGAATATGGGGTTCCGTTATATAATGCGGCTAACTGACAAATCACGGCCGACCATAAGAAATCTTTATTAGGATTAGCCGACGATTTAATTACTGTGGATGAGGAGGAAACCAAGGAAAATTTGGCTAATGCCGATTCCAGTAATTTAAATAATTTTCCGTTATCGCCTCAGCAAGAAAATATTCTGAAAATTTTGTCGCCTTTACGACGAGAATTCTCATATTCAGATAATTTGTTGAAAAGATCGCGGAAATTAAATAGTCGGAACTTCCTAGTCCAGAAAGAAATCATTCCGGTCGAATATAAAAAAATTGCTGATCCTTATTCAGAGTTAAAAAAAGAGGTCTTAAAGAAAAAATATCGGCAAATTAGAGAAGAAATTAAGCAAAGAGAAAAAGAACAGGTAGCCCAGGAAAACCAAGAATTAAGGAATTCTTTATTGCCTGCCCTGCTTTATTTCGCCCAAATGAATGGTGAGGATTTGGCTAGTCAAGAATACCGCCTATCTAAAACAACTTTTCAAGAAAAAGAAGACTGAGTGTCAGTGGGAGCCATAAATAGTAAACACCGCGATTTCTTGTTTTTGTCCGGATTTAAATTAACGCCGCGTTATTACTTCTTTGATATATTATTTTTTGCAGTGGAGAATATTCACCAAGGAGAATTCGGAGATGAAAAAGAAAATGAGGAAGAATTAGCCAAGGAAAAACAATCTGCCTCCAATTGAGAATACTTTTTAGCCGCTCATTCTTATTTAAAACCCGAATGAGAAAAATATTTAGAACTAGTAAAAGAAAGAGAAATAACCGAATGAAAAAGAAAACAAGAATATTTATCTTCCCTCTCTTCTTCGGGCAAATCTCAGACTATTGCTGCTATTCCTAATATTACTTCCCTCGAAGAAAAATACGAAAGATTAGCCACCGCTTATGAGAAAATGCGGGATTATATTGAAGATAAAGAAGTATTTGTTGAAGCCCCAGAAAATATTACTCCCGAACCGCCGACAAGACCAACCACTACTGATAACCTTTATGATGACTTATTTGCTAATTTAGACCAAGATGAAGCTGAAAAACTGCGTAAGAAAAAAGCCCGTGAAGAAGCCAAAAAGAGATTAGCCGAACAGGAATTTGCTCGTCGGCAGGCCAATTTATCAGAAAAAGATAGAAAAGCAGCCGAAGAAGCCGAAAAACGACAACGAGAAAAAGAGTTGGAAGAACAAGAAGCCGAAGCGGCTCGGAAAAGACAAGAAGAAAGAGACAAAAACCTTTCTGAGGATAGGAAGACTTATTTAGATAAAGAAGCAGAAAGAATCCAGCAAGCCAAAGAGCGGACCGAAGAAGAGTTAAAATTTCAAGAAGAACAAATGAAAAGAGAGAAAGAGAAAAAGGAGCAAGAAATCGAAGAATTAAAGAAAAAGAATGAGCAAGAAGAAAGGGAGATTACCCAACGGGAGGAATTGATGAAAAAAGAGTTAGAGGAAAAATTAAAAGAAATTGCGACCGAGGATAAAGAGGGACGACGCCGAA